TGAGCATTTTTGTTAGAAGTTTGATATCGATTTTTTGGAAGACCTCTCAGCGTCGCGCAAATATTTTCAAAGCACAAATTTATAGGTTTTAGGTTATGGCGAGTCCGAAACTTTGCTTTAAAACAATTGCAAACTTTTTCTAGGGGGTATATGAAGCCTGGGTCTCTGGAAACCCCCTGTAAAACCTCTGAAAAACCTTCCGCGGCTCACCTTTGCCACACTGCTGGAAATACCGTTTGCGAAAACGTATAAAAAAGTGATTTTGGATTCAAAAAAACTATGTCGGCAAAAAATGCCGCCTGCTCTATGAGGAAATGCCCACTGTGTCGCAGGTTTGATCGATACAATTTCTCTTTAGTACGCATTTAGTATTTTCGTCACACCTGAAATTCTTTAAGCATGTTTTTATTCCTTTAATTAGTTTTAGTTCAAAACGGTGTAACGGTGTTTATAGTGACCGTTTAAGTGCCGTTATTAGACCGTTTTCATAACGTACCTTACGTTTTTAAACCGTAAATTAACGGTGTAAAAACGGTACATTAACACTGATCGTAAACGGCGTGTTTTTATACCGTTTTTACACCGTTAACGGGCCGTTTTTATGATGACCGTTAATGGGCCGTTTACACGCCGTTAACGGACGGTTCTGTTTGGCCTGGGAGAGCATCCTCGTTGAAACAAATATACAGCTTAAGTTTCCTATTATTATTCTGGCATCCATGAAATAATTTGAAATGGCTAACAATCGTTAAATATAACATAATCAAATGTTTCATATTAAACGCGTTTTACCGATCGTTAGCCATTTCAAACTCTTTCATGGGTAAGAAGCAGAGATGATCACGGACCTGGCCTTTTTGCCTAAAGAGTCGATAAAATTACTTTTAATATTCTTACGTTCTAACAATAATCTCGATTCTGCGGCCTGGCCCAGACAGCAAAATCTTCTTCGCTTTGGCTCGACCCATATCGGCTGCTTCGATAGAAAAAGTGGCCTCGTACAATCAATGGTAAGAACGTTTAAAGTTTCAGCAGTGTATTGGGCAAAATAAAACAAAATATTCTTCTTCATAAATGAGCTATTTGAAGGTCACGTTGCTGTATAAATTCTCATGAAAGAGGACGCTGGTGGTAAACAGCCGACAGTTATTAATCTAAAATGAAGACAACACTTTGATACTTTCTGTGTGCAGACGATGGTAGTATCGGCGTCATTTTTTTATTTTTTGATTAACTTAAATTATTGGGGACAATCTGAAAGAGATGCTAAAAACCGAATATACGTGCTAGTAGATGTCACTATGCAGTGCTGATACGACTTTTGTTATGCTTTGAAATTTCAGTTGCATTGTCTCAAACATATAACAACCGCTTTAATTCAGTTTTACTGCAACAATTAATTCTTATGCGAATTATATGTTCATTGCGGAGTTCACTGATTACTCGTCATAGCCCAGTGAATAATATTGTTCTTTGTTTCTCAATAATAACAGAAGCACAACCGCAGATTTACACACATAAAGTACTTCTTCGGAGAGACATTCATATTTATTTTAGACAGACGGCAAGGATGCATGCTACACAAAAAATTTTGCTTTCATAAAATGCATTTGTAAAAGTCCGTTCCTAACCTATATAATAGCTTTAGCTTCAAGGCCGTACTCAAATTAATGCAGTTTCTTCTGCGTGTTGTGCAAGTTTGTGCTTGAGTTTTTTTCAAGATTTTTGTTTGTTATACTCGAGTTTCAGTTAGAGGAAATTCTCTTCCCGACTTAAATAGCGTCAAAGTATTCACATTATTATGTGTAATCGCATTTTAGATGTATTTAGTTTGAATTCAAATTCAACGAGATACAGTCCCACTAAGTCGAATACACATTAGTAACAATCAACAACCATGTCTGGACGATCTACAACTCGGCGACCGGCAACTCCTTCCAGTAGTACTTTAAATCTATCGCGTACACAAGAAAAAGAACAACTCGAAACACTCAATAATCGATTGGCTGTTTATATTGATACTGTTCGACGTCTTGAACAAGATAATGAAAAATTAAAAGTATGTATATCACGTTATTTACTATTAGAAAGGGTATTAATTATTCATTGATTCTGATTTTAGAATGTAATATCGACATACTCAGAAACGTATGAAAGCGAGACATCGAAAGTGAAAACGTTATATGAACGTGAATTAGAGGATGCAAAAAAATTAATTGAAGAATTAGCACGTGAAAAATCACGTTTAGAAATTGATGGTGAAAAGGCGCGTGCTGAAGCACAAGATGCTTTAACAAAGTAAGAAACAAAACTTGGTTGAATAACTATAGTCCTTGTTACTTCTTTTTTCTATTAGACTGAGTCGCAAAGAACGTGAAGCACGTGCTAATGAAGCACGTTTGAAACAATATGAAAATGAAATTGGTGAATTGAAAGCACGAAACGATGCAGTTATCCTTGATGCTAATAGAAAAACAGACGACAACGTTGTATGTATTAAGATTAAATAACTACAAGAAACATCTGAGTCTTTTATGACATTCTACTTTCAGGCACTTCGTGGTCTGAATAGTGATCTCGAAAAACAGGTTACATCATTGAAACGACAGTTGGAATCTGAAACTCTATTACGTGTTGATCTGGAGAATAAAAACAAGACATTGAGAGAAGAACTTCTATTTATTCAAGAAGTTCATAACACAGTAAGTAAACCATTTTCAGAAACATTGTTATAATCACAAAGACTCTTGTATTTTGCTGTTTGGAGTCGTACGACAGGTGAACTATATGAGTGCCTCATGCATATTATCAACTATGTCTTCTTCATTTTCATGTTGCAGCAGTTTTGATAAACCAGAGGGCGAACAAAACATTCTCTCCCTCGATTACATACTATTTTGAGAATGTCAATTTCAGTGAGTCGTTGCTTACTTTTAGGAAATGGAACAAATCAAACAACAAAAACGCGTTCATGTTCAACATTACGGTGAAGATATACGTCGAGAATACGATGATCGTCTGTTGAATGAATTACAACAATTACGTGTTCAAACTGACCAAGAAATGCAAGCCATTCGAGATGAAATAGCCAGTCAATATGAGAAAAAGGTATCTATATCGTTGATTCTTCCAGTAAACTTGTTAGTTACTGTATTTGTTTCGATCTCTCTAGATTGCAGATCTTCAAAGTACCAATCGTCGTAATGCGGAACAAGTTGGTTCATATCGTTCTGATGTGACATCGTATCGTGATCGTATTGAGGAAATAACAAAAGCACGTGATGCTCTAAATGATAAAGTTTCGGTTTTGGAACAACGATGTCGTGAATTAGAAGATCGTTTACATCGTGCACAACAAAAACAAGATGATTTATTATCAGACCGAGAAGATGAAATACAACGTTTAAAACAACATATTGAACAAATGCAAACTGAATATCAAAATTTGTTAGATGTTAAAATTGGTTTAGACAGAGAAATAGCAACATATAGAAAATTATTAGAATCAGAAGAGGAACGGTAAGATCTACTTTTAGTTTTTTGAACAGACACATCGCAGTTTTATTATTTATAGTAAAAACAGTTTGTTAATTTCTCATGCTATTTTTGCTAATCTATTCTATGTGTTTAGATTGAATATATCTGGTAATGCATCTCGTATTGGCGAGCACAGTAGCCTGACAACCGATAATGTAACAACAAGTGGTTCAAATACAACGTTTGATACAAGCAGTTATCCAACACACCGTCAAAAACGTCCACGTTATGAAGATTTCTCAACGTCGGCTACGTCCGCTAGTAGTCATCAAGTAACAGATCTATTGACGCGTACACTCAATGCTGGTGCTGCATCAAGTATGCACCAACAATTATTAGATGGTATTAATATTATAGATGATGAAAGTTCTCATCCAAAATATGTTAAACTTGTCAATAATACAAGTCAAGTATGTAGAGCATTAGGTCTTTGTTCTATTTTTGATAGTTCCATTTTGTTCTTATGTTTAGGATCTTCAACTAAATGGTTGGGTTTTAAAACGCAAAGTTGGTAATCAAACATATGAGCATAAATTTCAACGTGGTATGCTACTCAAAGCTAGTGCAACATCCACGGTACGTGAGAGAAATTGTTAAGTATCAATACTCGTACGTTACAAGTATGTTTTTGATTCTTTAGATTTGGAGTAATGATGCAAATGAAATAACTCATGAACCACCAGGTAATATTAAACTTCGAACAAACAAGTGGTTCGTTGGAGGACTAGAAAATAAGAAAACAATACTTGAAGATGCAGATGGTCATGTAAGTATATTGCCTCATTTTGTCGTATGCTAGTGATCAACTATCGTCTTTTTATTAATTTAGATCGTTGCTGAAAAGATTCTGACAATAAAGTAGATGAGCATCATAATGGCGGTATATAGGACATTTTCTAGTTAAAATATTTTATCCTCAATGAAGTTTTCGTACTGGATGTTCGTTTTTTGTTGGTTTTTTCCTCTTTTTGTCTTATATTCATTGTAACTTTGTTCTTTTCTGCTTATCTCATTCTATCTGTTTTTTTTGTAATGTCTTTTCTCTCTCTCTCTATATATATATATATACAAATTGTATAATCTTAGTTTCATGTGCGTGTCTGATGATTAGTTTTGGTTTTTTCTTTGTCTAATGAACTTCATTTGTTTTTTTATGTCATATTACATGCATTTTGATGTCAGCTGAAATAAATCGTAGGAAAAAACCTTTTACTGTTGATAGAAAGAGGAGATATTTTTGCTCCTCATTCTGTTTTTATCGATTTTTGTTTTTGTTGTTGGTTATAGACAAGCAAACTCCGTATTTATTTTTCTTGATTTTGGATCTATCTGTTTTTCTCTATGTTTATTGCATAAACAAGATCTTACCTAATAAAAAAATTTCTTTGCTTTACGAAGTTTGAGTACTTTTTACCACAAACACGGTATCCATGTATACATTACAAAACGTATATGTTTATCTAAAAATCTAAACAACTCGTAGTCGGCGAACTTTAACTAAAATCTGAATGCGTTAGTATCTAACTGCTAAATAACTATACAGGGAGAGTTAGATTTTTCATAAACTTCATATGATCATTTCAATAATCTTTTGATAATGATCGTCATTTCTTTGTGTGTAATCAATACTACTTGCGCTTTATAATTCTCTTTTTTTGTGTTTCTTTTTGTTTGTGTAGGAAAATTTACTCTCCGGTTTTTATGTCACTAACAAGAAATTTGATTTTGTCGTTTTTCTTACCGTCGCTAATATGCGTTTTGGATGTTTTGTGCTGAAAACATGTAGATATACGTAATTCTCTTGTTTCCTTTTATCCTTCTCTTCTATCGACACACTTTTCGTGTTTATTTGCTTTTGTGTAGTTTATTATATGTATCTCTTCTCTAAATTTTTCTTATGAGTGTGTAAAGTATTCAAAGATTGTTCTTTTCGTTTGTTTTTTTTTGACTATATAGTAAATGGAAGAAAATATCTTCAAGTTTAGCGAATAAACAAATACTAACTTCAATTTAAAAAAATGAAATGTTTAGACGTCTTTCGTCTATAATAAGAGGGTGTATTGATAAGTTAAATGTGCCGGCAAAGAAAACAAAAAATAGAAATAGATTGTGTGATACGATAGATTTAGATTATGTGATACACGATGCACATTTATAAAAGAGGCGTTTCACTCTACATACACATGCATATAGATATTCATCACCTATATAGATTGATTCTATTGACCTTGTCTATTCGTAAAAAAGTAACCTGTCAATTATGTATAAACTAATTCTATCTGAATAGTACAGATGACAATTTATCAACGAAGTACAAGGTTAAGATTAAACAAAAGAGAAAAATGAGCCTGTATATGTGTACATTTGTTGGTAAGACCTATGAATCTGACATGTACACACATAAACAATAAGACAAAATATATGTGATAATTAACTACAGAAAAAATGATAGAGGAAAAATATTAATTGATAATGACTACTTGGGTACAAATCTCCGGGTTAATCATGCTATACACAAACATTGATTTTCATAAAGATTCAAGTAGGAAACGGACTCATTATTTGAAGCTTAATTGTGACCGCACACATTTCAGAAAAACTATTAATATAGAAAAAAAAACATTTTTTTCAGGATATGAATTACGTTTCTCTTGAAAAATAGAAGAAAGAAAATAGATATAAAATTGATTACCTTGTAGCATATAAAAAGGGCGTTACTAACAATTTTATGTATTGGAGAAAGGATATATTTTCTTTCTCTTTCTCACTTTAATCTTATTATTCCTGTTTGTATTTTGATTAATAATAACATCATCTGTTCGCGTGAACGATGTTGAGTTTAAGGATCGTTCATTTTTATCAAAACTTTCTCGAATATTATCCGTTGTTCGATGTTGAAGTTTCAATTTTCTAATGTAAGCTTTTAATTTATTATATTTTGGAAATGTTCCAATCCAATCACTTGATTCTAAATATCCGATATATAATTGTTTTGCTAGTCTTATACCCAATTGTCTCAATTCAATATTAAATTGAAAATAGTCGGTAATTTCAATGAGATCAACATCTTCGATGATAAATACGAGATGATACAATATTTGATCGTATGTTTTCACTTCTCTCAAACAAATATATACTTTATTTAGTGAATGTTGTCGATAGAGTGTACCGCCAACATAATAATAAACATACAAATCCAGTGCACTAATAACAATTCGAATTTGTTTTAAACATTCAACTAAATTAACACACAAAAATATTGTTAAAATAGAAAATGTAAATAATAATATCAATTCAGAACCATAGAGCCAATATTCTATGTCTTCTTTCTGTCCTTCATAGAATTCTAAATATTTATAATATGAATAGATTGCTAATGAGAATAAAACAGTTTGTAAAATACAAATTAAATATGCAGTTGACCAACGACGATAACAATATTCATATGTGTACGATTGAACATGAATAAATGGATAATAGGGATTTTGACGAAAATGTTTGAGTAATTTTTCGGCAAATGGATCGTAGGATGTAACTAAAAAGATATGAAAAAAATAAAATTTTAGCATAGTTGATAAGAAGTGGTTAAGGGACAATTATTGCTGTTTAAAGAAAAAGGTGTCCGTGGCCATTTTTTGAATAACTTTTGATTGACGAGCGCTAGAGAACTGCGCTTCATGTCAGTCGCGAGACCACACTGTGATTCATCTTTCTGTCATCAAGAGAAAAAAGTTTTTAGGATAATGTGGAAAATTACTCTTAATCTCCAAAAACCATAATGTTTGTCATATTTCTTACCAAACACTGATAAAATCCATCGTATTCTTATCCATATTCTTTGAAAGTAGGAAATGGCCATTTAACAATGCCGCCATAAGATACATACACGTCGAATTTGAATTAAAAAAAAGTAAAACGTTCTTTCATCTAGAATATGCATAGATCAAAGTAAAATAGTAAAGTATGTTAATTAAAATGTCCTCAGCTTCGAGTTAAGTTCAAATTTTTTTTCGGATCGAATTCAATCTTCCATTATATCAACCACCAGATTGATCAAACAAGTCTGTGAGTCAGCATTAATTCGCGCCGTTTGGTGGGTCAGGTATGACATCCGCAAAGTAAAACGATGTATTAGTATTGTTGGTTTAAACTATATTTATTTGAAGATAAAGAAATCCTAATAACCCTCGAACTAAAGCGGCAAATTGCCATTACATAGTTCAAGGAGTTATTTACAAGGTGTTACTCTTTTCCATAAAAAACAACAAAAATAAAATAAAACTAAATATAGGTGAAAGAAGAGAAAAAAGGCTGCGGGTTCAGTGAATGGATGAAGCGGCGGGATGGAAAAGTATTGTTAGTATTGTTACCTTATGGTAACGAAAACATGTTGAACCGTTTCAGTATTCTATAATCTTCAGACCACGTGAACATTGCAAAGATTTCAGTTGTTCATATTAGCTGAAACATGTAAAATTTGACTAGATATTTTTACAATCACAGACAGTAATTCGTATCGTTTATTGATTAAAGAGAATTGACACTTTCAAATATAAGAGAAAATTGTATGGAGTGTGGCTAGTATGAAACCCTTGCTTTGCAGAGAGAATGAGAATTGTTTACATGAAAGTGAAGAATATGTGAAAATACAGTGAAAGCGTCATCAAACTATCCATTCAGTATAAATGAGAGAGAGTGACATTCTCGCACCACTGGATCGACAAAATCTGATGCTCAATGTGTCCATTTCTTTACTTTTATCACTCCATTATGTAATTTAAACGATCACTTTGGAAATGCACTAAGCTGCACGTCGCTGGTATTTGGTATCTAGAAGAAGACGTAATTGAACTAACAAACTTGTGTGATACAGTTGGATGATAGTCAACACGTAGTCAATTATATGGCGGATAAACGTTGGCGCTTTTACTAATGTAAAGAGTAGGGATTGCAGAAAATGTGTAGTTCTCGATGAGCTAGACGTCTGATTAGTAAACATACAACCATACAACTCCGTCTAGGTATGATGGCCTAACCATGGCGAAGAGAGATCATGCGACCTTTGTAGTAGCAGGAGAGTCAAGTTAAGCACTATGCGCCTCTATGAAACCATGTGGAACATGGCTTCTCTGATATCCAAGGCTTTGGAGTGATCTCTCTCTAATCAACTTTCAGTTCAACTTTTCTGTAATTAAACACTTTGCATCGTTTCAATTAGAATAAAGATCAAATCAATCGGACTTTAAAAGCAAAATAGTTCTAAAAGCATTGTGCTATATTTTTTCAACTTCGTGCTTCCAAAACATCATGAATCAAAATAAGAACTAAAATTTTATGTCCGGTTCTGTACACCTCAGTGGTTAAAGTTACAAACTAAACTGGTGAAAGTTGTGTGTGCTGTTCTTGGGCGACGCACGCTATTGAATTTATGCTTACGTTATGCAAACCAGAGATGGGCGAGTATACGGATTTCTGAGTACGAGTAAGAGTACTGAAGATCGAGTACGAGTATTTTCAGAAAAGTACTCGAGTAGTATTCGAGTATTTTTTTTCTAAAGAAGCCGGTGAATCCGAAAAAATTTCCGAATAAATCGATTTTTTTATACCCAAATAGTAAAAAAAAAGGTCACCAGTTTGTTGGGAAGTAATCGAGTATTTTTTGGAATACTCATTACAAAAAGTCCCGAGTACAAGTATGAGTACGAGTACTAGGAATTTTGTACGCGAGTATACTCGTACTGCCCATCGCTGATGCAAACAAGCATTTCTTCAGCTGTGAATTGGTATAAAAGTATGATATATTTCAGCACGTTTTTCAGGCGCTAAATGAAAACGTCTGTTGTTGACATGGAGACTTTAACTTCTCTCTTCCGCTATTACAAAAGTTATACGTTAAAATTCACGATTGTAGTTTTGCATACAGTGAGAACGGTTTGGAATTCCCTAGCATTTGCTGATAAAGCCTATCAATTCCTGATTTCAATTTGTTACAACAATCGGTAAAGAATTTTGCTCTGAGACATCCATATGCCGATTATGTCTAAGGAAAAACATGGAATTTTTTGTTATATCTGAACTTTCCTCTCTGTGTGAGCTGACGATTATTGGAGATGAGCATGTTATTACCCATGTTTTACGGAACAAGCTGCGTTTCCATGTATGAATTCCTTTTAGGTAAATATCCGCGGTTATGAAACTCTCAAAGTAAGGATACAGACTCACTACATTCAGTTTAATTGTAAAGAGCAATGAATCGATAGTATTGACTAGTGTTAATGGACAAGTGCACCGGAAATGTTACAAGCTTTTCTAGAAAAGCGAGACTATTTTAAACTTACTGTTGCCCATTTGCTTCTGAAGTATAAAATGGCATAAATTAGAGCTTCGACTAGAATGATAAGCGCTACAGATCCGACTGCAATGCCAATTGTTGCTGCTACGGACACACATGCTGAAACATGAGAAGATTAATGTTACTATCCTCTATAAAGTTTTGTCATATGACCCATATCTTTGACACAAGGTAGGTCAGTTCATATGCAATGAATCTATGCCTTTATTTGCATTCACTTGCATATCACCGAATCGAAAAATTTTAAAAGCTTGTTCGGTTAAAACCGATTGCAGATTCGCCTTCTCCATAGTTGATTATGTGGTGCGTGATAACTTCTGGATCGGGATACTTTAGAAAAAAAAATTTTCGACATCGTTTTGCCTTTGGTCTCATACGGTAACTTTTTGAAAAAGTTTTGAGCAAGACTACGGGAAATTGTTTTTCTAAAGTACCCCGATCTTAAAGTTATTGCGTACCACATAATCAACCATGGAGAAGACGAATCTGCAATCGGTTTTGACCGAACAAGCTTTTAAAATTTTTCGGTCCGGTGATATGCTATATCTCAAACTTAAACTATTTTCTTTATTCGACACGATGACGCTGTTATCTAGGTATGCACCGGAATCGGTATGCCGAATACCGGACACATCAAAACATTTTCGTACAAGATGCTATGTAATTACACAACAACCGTAAACAGCCGCCATTAGAATCAGTGTACTCTTATTGATTTACTCATGTCTCTTAACAAAAAGGTTTAGTTTCTATACGTAAAAAATGTTGGCGTATGATATCTCAAAATTAATCTTAAGTTAAAAGGAGATAGACGGTTGTTCTGATCTGCTGAAGCAGAAAGTGTTATTTTTTGTTATATTTGCTGTTATTTATTATAAACTGCTTTTTTAATGACCTTATTTGTATTTTCGATATCGGTATTTTGGTATGAATACCGATACCGTTGCATACCTTCTACTATCAGACACTGGCAGAAACTAACATAACCAAGAAAAGCCATTTATAATACCACTAATCAGTCTTTGATCACTAGGTGATACTGCACAAACTCTTATCTTATCATATCTGTCCATACTTTTAGCTTTGGCTGATTCAGTCGTCATGTCGTATTGTGATGTCAACGTTGCTGTTACTCGAGAGCTGTAGGATGTGTCTAAATAGAGAAAGAAATAGAATTCGAAACATCAGAGAAACTCATTTGATTCAACAGAATTTGTTAGAAGGTAAGCTTTTCAAAAGCAAAACGGTATTGCAATCAATGACAAGGCAGCTTTCAGCATTATGACAAAAACAATCACACTACCAAACAGGAAATGTTCATCTGATGATTCACACAGTCCATTGACTGCCTGTACAGTAAATCACTGAATCCAGGAAGAAAATTTGATTCGGGTAAAGAGAACACGAGTGATGTGAACAGTCTTGGTATCTCAGATAAAGCGCTGTTGTCTGAGGAGTGCGATGAACGTGTTCATTTTCTTCAAATTCCATATTTGTTTTGGGATACCACATCTCTCAATACTGATTCTCCACTCAACCTCATTGCCCGTTACTGTAAGTAATGGATCGAATTCAGCAGGATTCTTAGGAAATCTATATAATTCTATGCACAATGCAACAAAACTTAACAGTTTTCTAGAATTCTAAGAAATGGGTAGACTTCTAAGAAAATCTATACACTATTCTCTTTTCCACTCACGAACAATAACAGATTCAACAGTTTTCTAGTATTCTATAAAATACATAGGATCTTGTAAAATTACTGTCCTAATCGTAATACTGTTAGTATTCTGAACTGCATACAAGAATTATGAATTCTCATAAATCGAGAATTCCAAATTCGAATACCACACCTCTTAGTCCTGTTTCTTCACTCACTCACTCACAATGCCCACCAACCGCCTCCTTCCCACGCCAGCTGAGTCGAATTCGAAGAAGGCTGCCAAATATCTTAGATACCCAACAATATTATATGAACATTATATAAAAGCTTGTTTCAACTTAATTCGCGTATTGAAATGAAAATTTCGTCTAAAGCGGAATTATCTGTAGAATTCTGTCGTTTTTGTAGGTGATCTTAACAGAAAGACCGACAGACAGACATCACGAATTTCTATTTAGGGTTGTAAGAGCATTGTCTTTCAGTCAATGGGATTATTCCAAGAAAATGGAGAGAGACGTGAAGAAGACAAAGCACGATGTTGTTCTTTATTAGTTAGAAGATGCAAACTGACGAGTGGTTTAGCAGCTATCTTAGTTACTTTGCTCAAAGATGGTAGAAGTGTTGCCTGCTGGTGTATTCGTTTGTGCAGGAGTAATCGATACAGCTAAACAATTAAAAATTTTGTGTAAGAGGTTTGCCTGGACTATTTGAAAACTATCTCATTTTTGTCGAAATGAATGTTTTTCATTATATGATGCATCTGCACCAGAAGATAATAAACTTTTTAATGACTTGTAGCTACACGCACTACTATAAGACACATTATCTGGATATAGCCTATCCATATATATTACCAATATCTGACGGGCTACTGTGGTTTTCTCTTATTTTTATTGTTCTACAAATCTGAAAGCTCTAACGCGCTTGGTAAAGTCAGGGACCATGATGTAGCGGGACAATGTTTCTGAATTACACGTCTACAATGGTTCCAAAAAGTGTCTTACTTTATTGCCTATACCTTTACTTTACTATACCTTTACTTTAGTGCCTATACCTTATTTTTAAAAGTTCATCGCCCAAAAAAGAGCTTTGAGGTACTTGTACTTGTCTTTTTACAGTGGATCTCCTGCTAATTGCAAGAGTGCAAATATTGTGCTAGTTTACAAAGAATGACAGTTCATGACAATATATGTGTTTTAAAACATCGTTATAAAATAGTTCAATATTTGTTTTGAACAAAATCGCATGTTTACCAAAAACGCGATTGTGTTGCAGTCTAGATCATATATTATACTTCACACATACGCACTTCTCAAAGGAGCACAGCACCGGAAAAGATAATTCCTAACAAAGAATTATGCCAAACCTACTTTACCACAGTCTGTGACGCCTTCTTTAGAACGTGCAATAAATAAAAATAATAAAGTAAAATACGTTCTGTACTAGAATGTATTGCCATACATAACAAAGATCTACATCAATATGGAAAGCAACCAAGACTCGAAATCTTCAAGATGTAAAGATAAACGCTCTTTGTTTTGTGAATACAATAGTTTACAAAGTCGTGCTGCAGTCTGTACGATGAATTATCATCGTCTATGACAAACCACACGAAGTATCAGCCGTCGTACTCGACATGTCACTCATAGATATTTAAATAACTTTTTTTCGAAAGTTTATCCTAAGCGAATAAAAAGTATCGAGTATTTGGCAATCCTATCTAGGTAATCCAATCCAATACCCAATATACCTAGATACAAGTAAAAAGAAAGTACTGAGTATTGGGCAATCCAAGCTAGCTAACCCAATACAGTAGGCAATATACCTAGATAACCCAATACTATGCCCAATATATTATTCGATATATTGACGGTCGGATTATTCACCGTTTTGTTTTGCAGCCACAGCACGTGTATATGTAACACATATACTCCATAAATTTACAAAGTTTTTATCCATATCAAGTCAATATATTCAGCAATAATAGACCAGTATATTATAGAAAGCAGGATGTCTCCATACAGACATCCCGGGGTGCGATGCAAACAGCATCCTTCATGCTGTCAATACACGAGTCGATATACTGGGCTATATCGGGGATCATAGCTCCTCACACTAGTCTTTTCTTGCATTCCAATATATTGAGACGATATCGGGATGCACTAGAAATCATGCCCAATATATCTAGATAACCCAATAAAAGTGACACCTATACCTAGATATTTCATAGTAGGATTGCCCAATACAACGATAAAATACCTAAATATTTTCATGTATGATTTTGTGCTTGGGAATTTAAACAAACTATTATATGTGTACTTCAATGATTAAACACTACCGACACATCTGTAGTTGTCACTGGAGAATGGAGAAAGAATAAGAATTAACTGTCTAAATAAAGAAAGAAATAGAATTTTTGACGCTGTTCGAAATAGCAGAGAAACTCGCTTAATCCATGATCGATTGAGCTATACGATACAAGTTTTCGAAAGCAAAGCGGCATTGGAATAATTAATAACAAAGCAGCTTTAGCGTCATGACAAAAATAATCACACTACCAAATTACTCTAAGAAAATCAGAGATGGGACGAAAGACGTAAGTTGCGTAATAAGAGAACGAAAGAACATGTCTTATATCTTTTTCGTTTTGCTATTCTATTTTTTTCCGATCAAAAACATGTCGATAAGAATCAAAACGAAAAGAAAGGAATAGGAAAATGAAACTTATTATAACGAAAGGGAAGGAAAGACCTAATGCCAGTGATACGAAATGAATTCTTTTTTTTCTTCTTTTCTTCCACTCTTAACGACATGTTTTTAAGAACAACCAAATAATAACGACATTGGCAAAATTAACGTATTTCCTTTGTAAACGAAAGAAATACATAGAACAATTTCCTTAACGATATGTCGTCAAGTCTATCATCTTCATTCTCTTTATTGCGATACATATTACGAAAATATAAACGGATTCCATCTCTAGAGGTAATCCTATTCTATGTAAAATCAAAGTATTCTTAGTGTCCTCCGTGTATCGCTCTACCCGAAAACGGGTAACACAAGTGAGATATATCGTTACCCTTTTGTACACTTCAATTAACCCCCAAACTAGGGATATTCGGCTCTCGGTTCCGATTCTCGAGTTAGAACCGAAACGACCGCGGTTCCGGTTCCCGACTTAGAAGAGAACAGCGGTTCTCGATTTTCAGCTTAGAACCGGAGAATTTTCCAGACAGTAACAATTCAACAAAATAAAATTCATTTTATAGTAAACGAAAGAATTCTTTTAAATAATGGTAGGCAAATATATCTTTATGCAGTTTGGTCAATAGTGTGTTTTCATTTTGTTAAAAGAAAAGCAAGACAAAAAGATAAGGCAGAAGAGAAAAGAACGAATTATTGTTTTGCCCGTCTCTTTTGGAGTGCACTTCATAGAGAAATACAAATTTGATCGTCCGTTCGCACGCGTTCTTTCTCTTTCCATGCTGTACTTTTCAATCGTTTGATCGTAACAGTTTCAAGACCAGACGTTATGACCAGTATAACAATAATATTGGCCTTATCTGTTATCTAAGAAGAGTCGATGAGTTCGCCAGGTATAGAAGATCTCATATAAAAGAAGTTGCGCACAAGTATATCTTATGAACGCTAAATATAGCTTTCTCGAAATAAAACTGTAGTATCTACAGTTAGAAAAGTCTCGGGTCCAAAAAAAGAAACCGTCCACAAAACCGCGGTTCCGGTTCCCGATGAAGAACCGAAAACAAGAGAACCGCGGTTCCGGTTCTTAGCGAGAACCGAACATCCCTACCCCCCTCGCAGAATAGAAGGCATGGTCTTCTATTATGGTTTCGCACATCGCACCTTTTTCGGTGAAAAACTGTCCTACCCCTATACGACGTTTTTCACATATTTTCGTTCTAGACTGGCCTTCTATTCCGGGGGGAGGAGTAACTTGACCACATCGTGATTTTATAATTTAACAGCTCCTCTATTCAATAATGAAAATGGTAGGTTAACACCTATCATCGTTTTCAAATTACTGGAAAAATAAGTGAATCCACTGTTTTCCCTTGGGCTTTTACGGAAGGTATTCCATATCCTCAGATTCAGACCGAGACTTTTTTCGAGTATGCACCATCGTCATTTTAGCTAGTTGATAAATCCTAAAAGAATCAATCTAAAACTATTTTAACTAATCTTCTTTCAACTGTTGCTACTCAATGGGTGTTAATAGTAGCCGCAGTTTACATTACCAGTGCTTGTCTCTGTGCTGGTAAACGAATAAAAAAGTAATTTGTTCTTTTTTCATTTCTCTTTTTTCTTTGAATAGCAAGCATACCTGAACGATTTGGGTAAGAAATAAACTTTTTGTATCTTTTCAATAATTCGTTCTCGATTAGTTTCAAAGCCATCAAATCTTTCACGTATTCGTCATGACTGTAGCCTGTGTTCAGTAATATGGCATCTGCATTCTATCACAAAATCAAGCCAGTTTTCTTGATGATTGTCGAATAGATATTTTATCTTCACACGGTGGCTCAATAGCCTCTTTGCTCAGTTAATAACGAAGAAAGTTCTGATCAACAGTTCTACAATTTTTATCCATGCATTTTCATTTCTTTCTTATTCATCTGTTTGATGCTGTTTGTACATAATATTTTTGGTTTGTTTTCTATTTTGAATCATATGTATTATTCCCTACTTTTTCTGCAAGCTCAAACTTTTCTTCTATTGTAGTGTGATAGAAATATAAGCAAAAAACAACTAATAAAAACTAACCTTCTACACTACAATATTTTATACATTAGTCCAGATTTCTCCTCATCAATAGGGTATTTTAATATAATAAAAAGGAAAAATTTTTGATTTGAATCATATTTATTTTAGATAATCTTTTTATCATCCAAGTCGCAAACGATAATGGAAAACGAACCATCTAGTGATAATCGTGATTCGAATGAGCAAGATATTCGACGACGATTACACGAGCGACCACGCGTAAGATAATCGCAATCCTTTCGTAGATCAATTTTCTTACATGACTGTATCCATACATATACATGCTTTTAGGGAAAAAAAGAAAATCCACTTCTCCGCTTTTCATTCAAATTGATAGATAGCAGTTCAATAGTATATTATTATCATTAAAGAGTTACAAATTCGTACATTTCGATAGTGTTTTGAGGTGTTTCAAAAGAAATCTTCTTTTTGAAATCGACATGCGAGAAAAACCAGATTCTGTCTTTTATCAAAGTCGCGTTTGGGAAGCATAAAATGGTAAACGCCGCCATGCCGAATGTATCCCTAAAGACAACAGTTTCTACACCAGAACTGTCGTCTCGGTATAGTTGATTATGAATCATAAACTCATTTTGGCTTTTCCTAACTGTTGGCTTTACTTTTCGCTCCATAATATGTACAACTAAAAATCTGATCTTTCTCTGTTCAGTAGCGTTATCAAATTCTATTGCAGAGATATGTGGATTTTACAGCAGCTAATTGATGCGACTTTAAGCAGTGTCATGTCAAACTGAATGCAAAAATTTGAAAAAATAAAATATGAGAATATCCGCTGTCAGTCTTTTCGATTGAATGTTTTCTTCTTTCTAAAATTGCTTTTTGTCCCGTATCATATCAAAAGTGTGACCGAAAAAGGTTATTATCAGACTCCGCTTTTCAGCCACTCTCATTCTCACATTCCGCGAATGGCACAACCAATTGAGCTCAAACCTAGATCATGACAGTTTTAGATTTTATCCTACCTCTTCTGGAAATTACAGCTTAGTCTGATCACAGAGAAGATAAGGACTTTTTGCGTGAAAGTACTCCTTTTTTACGTAATTCATGAGTGATTTTCTGATCAATATTTCTTCGGAAGCGAAGTTTCGTTCTATTATCTACTGATAATATTCATTCTAGAACGCATCGTCGGGTGATATCGATACACAACCGACATTTCTAAGGAGTAGATCTGATTCGTCCAAAACAAATTTACGTGATAAAACCGATGAATTAGCCGATTCAGTTTTCGAAGTACCAACAAAATGTGTTGAGCAAGCCAAAGAAGTTGGCAAACGTGTTGTTGAATATGTCGTTGATCATGCTCTTCTTCCACATTGGTTGGTGGATAATGAATTTTTACTTTCTGGACATCGACCACCAATGCCAAGTGTTAAACAATGTTTTGCATCAATATTTCGTCTACATACTGAAACAGTTAATATTTGGACTCATCTATTGGGTACACTGTTTTTTATATGCATAACTGTTTATTATATTACACAACCAGCCAATGAAGTTCACATAGAGAGAAAAATTGTATTTTGTGCCTTTTTTCTCGGTGCCATTATTTGTTTACTCTTTTCAACATTATACCATACATTGTCGTGTCATTCACCGCAATTTGCATACATTTTTAACAAGTAAGAAAATGCCTACTTGGTTTCTCTACATTATTCAAAATACGAGTGATTTTAGACTTGACTATTGTGGAATATCGGTCTTGATTATTTCTTCATTTATTCCTTGGATCTACTATGCATTCTACTGTGAATTTGGAACAAAAATAGCGTATTTATCAGTCACTACAATATTAGGCACCGGATGTATTATCGTTTCAATGTGGGATAAATTTGCCTCACCTGCATATCGTCCATATCGAGCTCGTACGTTTCACATCAAATTTAAACCTTTAATTTTGTTTTTTATGTTTACAGTTCTCTTCATTGCATTTGGCCTTTTCGGTTTTATTCCAACAATGCACTATGGATTACTATTCGGTTTTAGACATGCTTTTACAAGTATGTTGAATAGTTCAATAGAAAATCATACATCATTTTTGATCATATTTCACTTCATTTAAATATTTCAGCTGGTGCTGCTCAATGGTTGGCACTAATGGCCGTTCTTTATATTACGGGTGCTTCTCTCTATGCTGGTAAACGAAAAAAAAGCGACATACTTTATTTTCTCGTATCTCTATTTTCTTCAAATAGCGCGAATACCTGAACGATTGGCTCCAGGTTACTTTGATATATGGGTAAGAAATGAACTCTCTCTCTCTCAATCTATACATTTTTCGAAATCTCTCTGTTAGTTTCAAAGTCATCAAATCTTTCATGTGTTTGTCGTGGCTGCTGCTTGTGTTCATTATTATGGCATTTGTATACTATCACGTCATCAAGATAGTATCGGAGATTGTCATGCAAGTGTAATATCACCGAGTAGTAGTGTATTGACGTCGTTCTTTCGCTAAACAATGGAGGAGATAAAAAACAATGAACAGTTATCATTTATTTTTCTACTTGCGCATTTAGGTTTCAGTATTTATTCTTGTTTCGTTTTGTTTTGTTGCTGTGTGTACATAATTTGTTTTTGTTTTCTCGCACCTTCTAGCATACCTTTTCAGCCTTACTAAAACATTTCATTTGTACTGTGATACAAAGAGTGAACGGAGGTATAATAAACTTAACACCCAAAAAACGAATTGATTGTTGTTGCTGATTGCAAATCCGTAATGTTAAGTGTTTTCTTTTGATACATCGGGACAGCTCCCTTAATTTTACATGGTAAAATCTTCAGCAAGCTAGATTAATTCTTGAACTTAATATATGAATCAATCCCCCATTATCAGTTCATTTTATGATCTTAATACTCGTTTTAATGTTTGCTCTTACAATCGCACCACACTGCATTGGTTAGATTATATTAAAAAATCAATTTTCTTTATTAAAACATTATCTGCTCACGAATGCATCTGTCATAAATGTAACTGTATGACATGTCTGAAAGATCGTGTCACGGGTTTTGCACCGCTATAAAAATCCTGATTCTATACAAACCAATGCTGATAAATAGTGAGCTTCAGGTTATCGTATACCGAAGCGAAAACCGGTCAAACACGATAAGCAATGAAACTGGATATCGGTAACTGTGTCACATAATGTCGATTAACCACATAACTTCACTCAAGTTTGAAAACATGATATATACTGTAAAAAATAGTCGTAGATTAATAAACTATCAAAAAGGGTTTATTGAGACCAATAAACCTTTTAAAAAGCGCTTTTCCGTTTTTATATCCAAAAAACTAAAAAGCGTTCGTGACAGATACAAAATGAAAAACGGGCGGTTTTTTATCAAAAATAAAAAACCGTTTTCAGGTTTTTGTCGAGTTTAAAATACCAGCTAAAAATCTCTTCAGTTTTTTATTTTTGATAAAAAACCGCCCGTTTTTCACTTTGCATCTGTCACGAACGCTTTTTAGTTTTTTGGATATAAAAAACGGAAAAGCGTTTTTTAAAAGGTTTATTGGTCTCAATAAACCCTTTTTGAT